CCCTAGCACAGGGAAGGCCTCATGTGGCGACGAGGGCTTTTTCACCAAATTATGAAACTATAGTCCAGTATAGATTTTGTATGATGGTCGTCACATTCCACAGCTGGACCAGAAGTTGATAAATTATTTCCTAAATAGTTTCAATCAATTTTATTTGTGAAAACACGTGATGATTTACAAGTAGAATTAATTAGCATAACCCTCGATCAATAGAGAAGCACACTTAAAAAAATAAGTTCACACACAGGAAAGTTACTGTAATGTACGAATTCTGCCCATTACTCAAAGCCAATGACTAGCCAACCGAAATCAAGAGCGACTACCATTATTGAAAAGGAGATTACACCTTGTAATGTTGATCCACATGCTCCACCCACATTGGAAGTCGGCGACATCCTTGCGGTCGTCGCTGAGCATCTCTCCCTTCGTGAGCCAGCGGATGCAGCGCAGCTCCTGATGGCAGTGCCGGCGGCACGTCTCGCAGGTGTCGACCTCCAGGCAGACATTGCGCGCGTGCACGTGCACCTGGAGCGCGGGGTTGTCGGCCAGGAGGGTCGCCATCGACCTGCTGTGCAGGTACGCATGGGCGCACGGTGTCCGGCCCTGGACGGGCCGCAGCTTTAGGGTGCGCAGCGCCGGCGCCGTGACGGGGGTGAGGGCCCCGGCCAGCCCGTCGAGCACGACGGCGTTCAGCTCCAGGTGGTGCAGGGCCGTCAGTGACGGCAGGGCGGCGAGCAGCGGCTGCAGGTGCGGATAGTCCGAATCCTGCTCAAAATAGTGGTCGTCGACGATCACCAGGCGCTGAGGGCGGGACCGCGGAGACAGGGACAGGACGGAGGGACCGACGCGGACGTCATCAGATAGGTACTCCAGGCGCACCGACTCCAGCTGGTCTGCGCGGCGCAGGAACTCCCCGGCGTCCAGCAGGTTTCTGCGAAGCGCCTCGTCATCGGGATTGAGATGAGGACGATAGACCAGAAGTTCGAAGTGCCTGAGCGACTTGCAGGCGGCTGCGGCCTGCAGGCCGGGCAGCAGACAGCACGTCAGCTCGCGCAGGTTGGGCATGCCGGCGAGCTGTGCCGCGATGGAGCTCGAGGCACTCCAACTGCACGGGCTTTCGCCGAGCGAGACTTTCTCCAGGGTCGCGGCGTGCGCGGCCAGGACGAAGCTGACGAAGGGCTCTGTTGCCGGACTGAGGGAGAAGTGGAGAGTCTTGACGGACGGGCTGGGCGCGGGCCCGGCGAGTAGGGCCGGAGTATCCGGGCTCGGAAGCTTGCCGTTGAAACAAATAATCGTGAGCTTCTCCAGGCCACCCGTCAACACCGCCGTCGCCAACAGCTTCGTGAGCTCAACGTCACCAATACGATAGTGCAAATTCTTTAAGATAAGTTGCAGCCGCCTGAGCCGTCCCAGCGCCGCCTGGTTGCGGATCACCCGACCGGTGACCTCGAACTCGATGTGCTTTGTGGTTATTGTGATGCCCAGCTGGGTCACGGCGCACTTGGTCGCGGTACAGAGCGCGAGCGGCAGTCGGCTCACCTGGCTCGTAAGGTGTAGTTTCCAGGCCTTGAGGCAAGGCGCCAAACGCAGGGCCTGCGGTGTGTGCCGGTTGCCGTGGAGTTGCCGGTGCCGCCACGCGTCCGGCTGCAGGGCGAGTCCGTGGAGCCGCTTGCACACGAGGCGGCACGCGAGCAGGTCCGGCACGTCCACATGCTGCATGACGCCGAGCAGCACGTCGGCCGGCAGGTCCGTCAGAGAGAGCTCCATTTCTCTGTAATCAACAGCAAGAAAGGAGGGGTTTTCTGCGGTGCCGCATAGACAGGAGAAATACAGCAGGCCTTGTTGTATTGACGGAACAGATATTCTGCGCGTCCCCTTACCTTATCCAGATACAGAACCTTGTGCAGTGCAGGAGCGTGATCCGGGACTCGAGAATGCTGATGAGACAGCGACAGGTGCGGGCCTGCAGATGGACCAGACCGCCTGCTGCGGTGGAGGTACTACACCGGGTGTAGACAAGCGCTGCTGCTTTACTGATCGCAATTACACTGCCCACTCGGCACTCGGCGAACTCGGCGCTGCGCTCGGCCGTGTGATCATAGGGCCAGTGTTAGCTTGGTGCTCTCCGTCGGAGGTTTCACGCCGTGAGAGGCGGTGACGAGCAGGGCCGGGCAGCCCGGCCCCGTCTCCGACAAGCTGACCCCCCCCCCCCTCCCTACGGGCCCTCGGCGGCGAGTGGAGGGGGAAGGCGCGGGGCATCGGGAAGGCATCGGGGCCGGGCGGGCGGTGTTGCGATGTTGCCGAGTTGACTGACGGACGTTTTTTGGAGGAGATTTTCAGTGCTAACCCCTGTTTTCTTTGTTCTGTTGTAGGTGAGTTGCACGCACTTCTCTGGCATCAGTGTGGCAGTGTAATCCTCTGATTAACTCGGGTTTGCCGCCACTTCGGGGAATGGGGGATGCGTATGAACCAAACGCTATTCATCGAGTCTTGTTGTAAGTATTGTACATTTGTACACATACACGCGGGTGCAGCGCCAGCCCCCGACCTTCTTGCTCACGAGGCGGCAGGCGAGGATTGCACGAGATCGCAGCGCCAAACAATGCAAATCAATTTCTTTTAAAGTTTGATCAAAACTCTCATCAAAACTATCAAACTCACGGTGTAGAGAGATACGGTGGGGACACTGGGCCGCTACTGCCCACCTGCGCTTGTCACGATTTCGGCTCCGTTTCTAGTACCTGAGTACGCCGCCGCGTGGCGCTCAACGCAGGATGTACTGGGGAGTGGCGTAGCGTGGCGCGGCACCCGCCCGTGAGTGCGAGAGAGAGGTCCGAGCCGCGTACCGGCTAGCCCGGCCACTAATCCTCTCTAGCCGGCCAGGAGCACGCCGCCGGCCGCGCCCGGGCTATCCCGGGCCAGCCGGTACGCGGCTCGGACCTCTCTCTCGCACTCACGGGCGGGTGCTGCGCCACGCTACGCCACGCCCCAGTACATCCTGCGTTGAGCGCCACGCGGCGGCGTACTCAGGTACTAGAAACGGAGCCGAAATCGTGACAAGCGCAGGTGGGCAGTAGCGGCCCAGTGTCCCCACCGTATCTCTCTACACCGTGAGTTTGATAAAATACAGTAATCCCGTTTTGGTTGCGACCCTATGTCGTGGGGGGCGGGCGCTCTGGGCGCGGCCAGTACGACGGTCACTCCCTGAAACGACGTCCGCCCCGGTCCTGCTCGGCCGAGCGCGGGGACGCAGTGTCGCCGGGGGCGCCCCCCCTCTCCCTCCCCCCAATTTGCATCTTACACCCTCATTCGACCCCCAACGACCAGCAGCCCTCGCGCTTTATTCTCCACTCCCCCACGCCAGCTGCGGCCCCCCGCGCCGCGACCCCCCAATGGGGTCCCCCATGGGACTGCGATGGCCAATGCCGCGGCGCCCACACAGCCCTACTGTTTTTTCGTCATGGCGCTCGTACGCGGTCCATCTCTACATGCCGACCTCTCCCCGAGGGCTACCTCATCCCCCCCACCCCCTCTCCATTCCCTCTCACTCCAACTCTCTCTCACTCACTCACTCTCTCACACACACACACACACACACACACACACACACACACACACTCTCTCTCTCTCTCTCTCTCTCTCTCTCCAACTCTCTCTCTTTCTCACTGCTCACGTCCTTTCTCTGTCTCTCCCCCTCTCCCCAACCGAATGTGTACTTCGGTACGTACTTCGCTTATGATTACCCCTATCCCCCCCGCCCCCTCTCCTCCACCTCTCTCCACACCTCTCCACCGGACGTGTGGTATGGCGGTGTCAACGGCGGTGAGAGAGTGTTGAAGTCAGGGAGGTAGGGGGAGAGGGTGAGGCGGGGTAGTAGTTGTGTGTGGCAAGTTGGTGACTGTATGAGCGACTCACATTAGAGAGTCTCTGTCCCCCTCTCCCTCCCTTTCTCTCTCTCTCACACCCACACAAGTAACTCTCCGTGTAAATCACAAGCAGCAGCCCCCTTCCCCCCCTTCCCCCTCCCGTCTCACCACAGCCTGAGGTTAGGACGCAGTTGGCCCCGTCGGCACCTGGGCCCCCGCCGCTGGCTAACGGATGAGCATGGAGCCCTTTTGCGGATAAGAATAAAACCCGCCGGATAAACAACCCTCGGTATAAAATTTCACCCCCCCC